ATAATGTTATAAATTAATAAAGTATTATTGTAAAAAATACGATTTATTTGAATAATTATTATTGTTATCATAATACTTTAAATTTTTTAACAAAAAAAGATAAGTTTTTTACAACTTGCACGTTTTTTACAACGTTACAAATACGATAAAATCTTGTGTTAACTTAACATTTTTAAGTCGTTTAAACAAATTTTAAAACACGTTAATAAAACGGCGTTTATCACGCACGAAAAATCAATTTATCACAACTTACACGTATTTATACGTTATAAATATAATATATCTTTTATTTAACAAAAACATTTTACGTTTATTACCATTATTTTTACCGTTTATTACATTTAAACAACCGATATTTATATTAAAAAACCAATTTTTTTATTAAACACGTCGTATAATTAATTAAAAATAACTTTGTTTTTAATTAAACAATTTTAACCAATTATTTACCTTTTAATAATTATAATAATAAAAAAAACAAAAACGTAAAACGATTTTATTAACCCAGTTTTTTTAAATTAAAATTATAACCTATTAAATAAACCGTAAAATTAAAATTTTTTAAACACGTATACTGTTAAAAGCTTTAACATATATAAAAATATAAGTTTTATTAAAAATTTAAATTTAAATAAAAACATTTATAAATATAATAAAAAATTATAAAATTAATTTAAATATAATTTTAATAATTAAATAATTAAACATTTTACTTTATTAATAAAATTATTTTATTAATTTATAATTTAATATTTATATAATTATAAATTATATTTTAAAAACTGTATTTACATTAACATTTTAATTAAAATTTTAAATAACTTAAAATAACCTCGTTTTTTTAATAAAATAACTTTTAAAAAAACCTCGAAATTATTAAACACATTTATCTCGTAAAACAATCCACATTTAAAAAAAATAATCGACTTAAAACAATTACATAAAGTTAACTTTACTTTAACCGAAAATAACCTCGTTTTTAACCAAACAAGACTTTTATTTCGATTTTTTTAACCAGTTTTAATTAACTTTAATTAATTTAACAAAAGATTTTACATATAAAACCATTTTAACTTAATTTAATTTACTTAAATTAATTTAAGTTTATTACATATTATTATAAAACTTATTAACAATTACGTTATAATATAAAAAAAACGGATTAAAGGTAAAAAAAAAAAAAAGATTATTAATGTTAAATTAATTAAATTGTATGTAATTACGTTATAATAAAAAAAAAAAAAAAAAAAAAAGTTATTAATGTTAAAATGTAATTACGTAAAGATAATCACGTAATAACACGTGACTATTCCCCACACAAAAGGTAATTCTTTTTAAATAACATTTATATACACAATTTATAATTAAGTTAATAACAGTCATTATAATAACTTTATTTCGTATTATGTTTCGTTTTTTTATTTAATGTACACCACCACCCATACTTTATTATACTAACATTTTTATATTTAAAATTATATAATATATTTTAATACTTTATAATTTTTTTAACAAAAATATTATTAAATATTAAATATTTTTATATAATTATAAAAAAATTACATTAATAATTTATTATAAAATATTAATTTTTAATTAAATTTATAATTTTATATTAAAATAAATTAAAATAAAAACTTTTATAAATATTAATTTTAATTTTATAAAAATCTTTAACATTTTACTTTTTAAATTAAAATAAAATAATATTTTTTTTTAAAATATCCGTTAATAAAATTATTATTTTTAAATAATTATAAATAAATTATTTATAAAACTTTATAAAATATTAATTATTTTAAAATTATTAAAATTTTATTTTTATTTATTTTTATTTTATTTATAATTATTATAAAATTTAAAAATATTATTTTATTAATATAAAATTTACATTTTTTTAAATTTATATAAAATTTTTATTTATATAATTTTTTAAAAATATTATAAATATTTTAAATATATTATTTTTTATTTTTTAAATAAATTAAAATATTATTTAAATATATAATACATAATATATTAATTAAATTTATAAAAATTTTATTAATATAATTTTAAAATAAAATTAAAACGTTTAATAATTTAAATAATATTATTAAATATTTAAAATATTTATATTTAATATAAAACGTTATTTTTTACTTATTTTTTACTTTAATATATAATTAATAATACATATTTTTTAAATTTAATTTTATAAAATATTTTATTTTTAAAAATTTATTTAATATTTTATTAATTAAAAAAAAAAAATATAATCTTTTTTTATAATTTTATTTAAATTATAATAATTAACGCATAATTATAACTTTTTTTTAATTTTAAAATAAATAATATTAAAATTTTTATTAAACTTTTAAAAAATTAAATTTTTCTTTTTATAAAACGTTATTAATATATTTTTTAAAAATTTTTAATTTTATTTTTATTAAAGAATAAATTAAATTAAATAAAAACTTTTTACCTTTTTTAAAATTAATAAAATAATCTTAATTTTAATATTTTAAAAAAATAAATATTTTTTTTATATTAAAAATATTTATAAACTTTTTATATTTTTTAAAAATAAAAAATATTATTATTTTATTAAACGTTTTTTATAAATTAAAATATTATAAAATTATAATATTACCGTTATCTTTTATTACTATTATTATAAATATTATTACTTTTTTTATTTTTTATATAACTTTATATATTTCCTTTTTTTTTATATTAAATTTATATTTTTAAATTTAATAAAATTATATTATATTTTATTAAATCTTTTTAAAATAATATTAATTTTTATAATTTATAATATTTTTAATATAATTTTATAATTAAAATCTTATTTTATTACATTAATAAAATTAATAATTTTTTATATAATTTTTTAATTATTTTTAATTTTTATAATAATATAAAATTATATTAATATTTTTTTTTTTAAAAAACCTTTTTATTTTTTTTTTAAAATAAACTCCTTTTATATTTTTAATAAAACGTAATTAATTTTAATTAAATTATAATTAAATTTTATATTTATAAAAATTTTAAAAAAATTTATTTACTTTTTATTTGTAATTTTACCGCTATTTTAAAATAAATTTAAAAAAAAATTAATTTTTATTAAAAATTTTAAATATTTTTTATTTATATTAAAATATTATTTAAATTAATTATTAATAAATTATTATTTAATTATAAATATTTATAAATAAAATATTTATATTTTTAATATTTATAATAAATAATTTTTAAATAATAAAATTTAATATAATCTTTTTTTTTTATAATTAAAATAATTTATTAAATATTTTAAATTTTTAACGTTTAAAATAAAAATAAAAATAATTTTTTTACTTTAATTAATAATTTTTTATTTATTTTTAATAATATTATAATTATTATCTTTTTATTATATCGTTTTAATATTAAATTTTTTAACTTTTTTTTTAATATTTTTTATATTTTTTTATTAATTTTTATAAATTAATTTAAATAATTTTATTTTATTTTTTAATTTATTATATATTATTAATATAAATTTTTAATATATTTAATTTTGAATTTAAAAATTAATTTAATTAATAAATTAAAAATTTTTATTTTTTTTAAATATTATTTTAAATTTTTTATTTTAATCGTTTTATACTTTTTTAAAAAAATTAAAAATAATTTATTAAACTTTTAATATAACTTTTATATTATTAAACAAGTGTGGTGTTATTAAGCCCGGTTATAAGGTATTTTATTACGTAATTTTAGCTTTATAAATCATATAAAAGTTTTAAAATCATTTTATCTCTTTAATTAAAAACACACACACTTTTATTTTAAATCATCTTTTAATTAACAGTTATTTTAGCCTTTTATTTATATCGATTTTATTTTATTGCCTTTTATTCCTCGATCATTGATCAGTTAAATTCGTATTTATAAATCAAAATATAACGCCATCATTAACGGTTTAAAACCTTTTACAAGGATTAAATTATTAAAGTAATAAACCATACTTTGCAAAAGTCTTTACCTTTTGTTTATTATTATAAAAAAATTAAATATTTTTAAATTTTTATTTTTAATTATATTATATAATTATTTTTTATTTTTAATTATAAAATTTTTTTAAAATTTTTATTATTATTAATAATATATTAAAATTATTATTTAATTATTTTATTTTTTAAATAAAATATTATATATAAATTTTTATTTTTATTTATATAATAATATTATAAAAAAAATTATTAATTTTATATTATTATTATTTTTTTTTTTATAAATAATATTAAATAATAATAATTTATTAAAAGTTAAATTTTTATTATAATTATTTTTTTACCGTTTTTTTTTATAATAAAATTTTTTTATAATATAAAAAATAAATTACTTTTTTTTTTTTAAAACTATAAAATATTTAATTTTACGTTTTTTTTTATTTTATTTTTTTAATTATTTAATATATTTATTTAACTTTTTTTTTATTATAATTTTTAAATTAATAATATTTAATAATATTATTACGTTAATTATTATTAAAATAAAATTTATATTTTTTATTAATATATTATTATTACTTTTTAATTAATTTTATAATATATAATTTAAATTATTATTAATTATTTTTTATTTAAAAAATATAACGTTTTATTTTTTAATAAAAATTATTATAATAATTTAATAATAATTTTATTTTTAATAAATAATTTATATTAATAAATAAAAACGTTAAATTATTAAAAAAAACTTTTAATATATATTATATATAAAATAAATATTAAAAATAATAATAAAATTATTATATAATAATTATATAATAATAAAAATTTATTAACGTTTAACTTTTTATTTTTTTATAAAAATATAAAATGTTTTTTTATATATTTATCCTATATAAATTTATATTTAATTTATATTAGCTTTATTTATATCTTAACAACCATATGGAAAAGCTTTAGTTATATTTAATTGAGCCTGGTTCGCAACTGGCGCCATCGCATATAGAAACAAGACGAGGATATCTTAATAGAATATGGCGGTCGGCAAGTCAAGAACGATTTGAAAATATCCATTTTGTTGCCAATGCTACTTGGGAGCACAAAACGCAAACCTGTGAATTTAACATAAATGGTCGATTCGGAAATTCTGTTGACTGGCTCGATGGCCAACCCATTTTCAACGTCAGTCTAGAAGCACATATCGTCCCGATATCTCCATTTGGGACAAATGTTGAGAATATAGTTTCAACTCCTGGCACTGGACAAAACTTTGCATCGGATATGACAACATGGATAGGGGGAACTGATAACTCGGCTCAAGGCAACCAGTCAACAACCAATTCTTTGCCTATTTTTCTGACTACTTCTGGGTTAGAAAGGGAGCAAACGAGAGCACGACCCGACCCGAGTATTCCAGCTAAAACCTCTCAATCGCTTAGAAGTTTAATCAGCCAGTATATTCCCAAGAAGACAAGCAAATCCCCGACAATATCACAACGAACAGAACCGACAGATGCACATCCTATTGTCACCCGATCGCCAAATCAGGTTTCTGAGCATTACTCGTCTACCGTAAACTTGGCACCTAGAGGAGCTAACCCTACAAATAGACATGCTAACCCCCCAGGACCGGATCAAGTCCAGTATCGACAATCCCGTGGGTTGTCCGTTGTTACTGGTACCGACATGATTTCTACTCAATCCGTACATACCTCAAGCATAGTTGGTTACACTGGCGTAAGGCATACTTCAAGGCAGTTTACAACCGCTAGTGTCGTGAACATACCAGAAGATAATATTATCTGAGTTCGTTTAGATTTTGGCTTAGATTATCCCTATTGAGAAATCTAGCCACGATACTTTAAGTACTTAACTTAGTGTTTCATTCTAAAATGTTTATATGATAGCCAAATCAAATATGACTATTCCACTATAAATATACTCTTATTTTACGCATACTTTAATTGTTTCATCCCACCAATGCTTAGAAGGCTTTCTGCAGCAACCAGTAGATATACTCATGATCTACCTCTTACTTGCTAGCTTGAAGTGAGGTAGTCATAGTAGTACATAGACTCAGCTTTTGTCAGGTTATAAGTAGAGCTAGCCAGGAACAGGAATAAATCTATATAATAAATGTATATAGGGAGCCCTCGAAAGAGGATAGAAGGGCAAGCGTTGATAGATTCCTACTACTGAACTATTACTTCATAGTAGCGAGGTTTAAAATTCACTCTACGTATGACATAAATCAAGGGTTCTCTCTGACAGTTTTAAAAACCCAAGATTTCCCCCCTGAGGCATCTAAGACTGTACTATGTTAAAACGTCCTTCACTAAAACTGTCTTACATTCTCCTATAAGTCTGGTAAACTATATGTATGGTGATTGGGGTTAGTTATGCTAAGTTGAAAATAATCTAAATAAGCTTAACGAATCTTTTTGCTTTATGCAATTTTTTATCCCGAGCTGTGTAGCATCGGAATCCCCGGTCACGATAACACAGCATAGTTGCTACGGCCCCCAGCGGGTGGCGTAAAGGGTCTAAATGGAGCTTGTACTGTTGTGGAACACACAGCCTGTACTGCCTATTCCGAATCCTAATTAATTGCCACCAGTTCCAATGCAAAACTATCCCGCAGTTTTGATTCTAATCGAAAATATCTCTTCAGTCTCCCAGTTGAGCGAACTATGATGGATAAGATTCGAAAGGTAGTGTCAAAGGTTACAATTTTTCGGAGGAAACAGACCACGAAATCATGGGTACTTAGACCTCCTAGACTTCGTACTTGCTTCGTGTCTGAACCTGTTCCCAAAATCTTTGCTCACGGGTTATTTATTCTACATCCTCCTCCCGAGTTACCCGCTGAGCAAGAACAGATATATGTGGAGTAAGTATACTGCCCATGCTAGATTTAAATAGATTTTAATATCATTTCAGCATCGTTGCAGTTCATGGATTAAACGGCAGGGCATGGGAGACATGGAAGGATGAGGAAAGTGGCATACTCTGGTTGGAGGATTTTCTTCCAGAGGCGATGCCAAACGCTCGTATTATGACATTCGGATATAACTCAAATTTGCTCTTCAGCAACTCGACAGGCAGAATTGAAGATTTTGCTAGAGATTTATTGAATAGATTATGGGTTATGAGACAAGGACAGAGAGTATGCTGACATCGAAACCTGCTTGCCTGTAACACACTAATGTGTTGGCTTAAGACCGAAAACAGACCGCTTGTGTTTATAGCTCACAGCCTTGGGGGGATAGTCGTCAAAAAGGTATCTTACCCTTCTCATCAACCCGATCAGTGATAAAATCGTAAGATATTGATAACGCCAGGCGCTTATCCTAGCTCATGAGAACCATCATCATTTTGGTGATATTCTCTCTTATACGATTGGTATTGTGTTCATGGGAACCCCACACCGAGGGTCTCAGATTGTAGATTGGACATCCTTTCTGCAGAACCTCATCCATATCACGTCCGGAACACATCTTATAAGGACCGATCTCCTCCAAGAACTCAGCACCCACTCCTCAACTCTGCTTGAAATCTCGAGGTCTTTCTTGCCCCGCTCAACTGGACTGAAAATCATGTCATTTATTGAACTACAAATCGAGCGTCCTCTAACTACTCTAGTAATGCAAATTCCTCATAATAATCACATTTACGGTCAGTGTAGCTAATATATCATGACTCTAGGTTGTACCTGAAGAATCTGCGCGACTCAATCTTCCCAATGAGAGAGTCTTCCCAGTCAATACCCATCACCGCAACATTTGCCGTTATTCTTCAAAGAACGATCAGACATATGTCCTTGTGGAGGGTTCTCTCAAAGATATTATGCATATAGGAAGTGACTCCTCTACTCCTAGTAAGTCATTCCTAGGTATATAATGATACCTACCAGTTGTATCGATATGCTACTAACCCGACTCACTATGACAAGCTATACTCAATAAATCATCTGTAATTGGAGGTCCAAGACATACTCAGCCTATGTTTGGTATCACGGAAAGGATTGAAGGACGAGTGTGTACGATATTAAATATATGTCACCCTTGCGCTAATGTCTTTGATTTAGATCGGGCCTTGTTTAGGTCTATCGGAAGGGTTGGTCGAGCATTCAGTATTCTCTTCGATATCTGAAAGTCCTGGCTTCAGCACGTCGAACGGCATTGGACAACTCTCCCATAATGAGAACCCTGAGAAAGATGTACCTATAAACATGACTGATACTTCCTCCGAGTATAAGAAATTCAAGATTCGAGTTTCAGGTCTACAGCGGTTGGGATTAGGATCGGAGGGGGAACGTAACGAGGACACTATAACCCTGGATGTCAGTGGCAACATGACATTATACAACTTAGGACGTCATCTATCTGATAGAATATGTCCAAGCAAGCAGGGGCTTGCACATTGGGAACCCTCGACGCAAATTCTATTTCAAGAGCCATCAACGACCAAAGGCTTTAAGTTCCCTGGTCAGTCATTGCCCATATCATATGAATGGATAGACGTCTTCACAATTCCAATTCAAGTGACTAGCGGTCGTCCTTGCTACAAAGAATCAGCAGGGTATAAAATCAACACCGAGCAATCCATTGCAGCGTTCATTAGCAGAACATTCCCAGATCCAATTTCAGCTAAACTCCGTCAATATCCCCAGCAGATACAATCCAGTACTGGCATGTCTCACTCTGTTATAGTCGGAAGAAGCAATGGCCCAAATCTTCACATATCCCTTATGCGGACCATTCGCGTAAAAGGAGGTGAGGGCCAGTATACACCACCAATAGGATTGGGGACTTTCCCTCTATTCGATACCTTCTCACACAAGGACAAACTCCCTACTAATGTAGCAGCGAAAGGTGGCTTATTCTTTCCGATGCACGGTACGCATACGCCTAATCCAACTTGTCTGAGCATAAAAACTTAAATCTTTCGATCAAGGCTAATATAAAACAATTTTGAAGAAAGAGAAGCAATGTGGATGTGTTTTGATTGTGACGAATCCACCGACTTTGCTATCCGCCCCTTTGTCGGAGGCATCAACGGAATTACTGGGGACAATATCCTTTCATACAGCTCTGAACCCGAGAGTTCTATTAAGGCGGCGCGTCAGGACTATATTGCAGTCCCAGCACAAACCCGGCTAGATGGAATCTCTAGTCATCCTGGAGTTGTTAAGCAGTTCGTTGCTACGAGATTATCGACAGCAGAACAACACCAGGGACCTGGAACATTGACTTTATCCACTTCCAATTCAGCACCTAGCGAAAGGAACGTACAGAGAGCAGGTACAATAGCCGGCGAAAGCCGAACAATCGAATGTCAAATGACGGGAAAGGATGAAATAGGCGGGATCCAACTGCAGGTTATCCCTAAGTTTGAGACGAAACGGATCTTTGCGGGCAGTATGAAAGATGTCTGTCCTACATACATCGGGGGCCCCTTAGAGTCTTACCAACCCGTCCCGACAGATGCGAAAGTATATGATGTTTTGAAAACTCCTCGGGAACTTGGACTACATGATGGTGATACCATTCATGTTAAGACTCTTCAAGAATTCAATCCTGGTCTCAGGCGAACAAAGCTTGTACAGGATCTCATAGCAGAAGCACCGAAACCACCAGGAGGCCCATATGACATAGATCTCATAGCAGAAGCGCCGAAGCCACAAGGACGCTCAGGTGGCATAGAGCTGAGAGTTCATGGGGAAATTAAATGCCGTAAAGCTCGATATAGGGCAGGTAGGGCAAAGCCAATGGGTTGGGGCAATAATATTAAGGTAGAGGGATTCTCTTCATTAGTAGTGATGGTCGGCAGAGCAGAAGTTTTCCGCGGGTCTCCGAGACATGCTTCGGAATTGAAAGAAATACTCTGCAGTACGCTTGGAATCATTCCACATCGTCAAGTATTTAAACGTAACGGAATCGAATTTCCAAACGGTATGCTTACCAAAACCACTGCCCTATCTTCCGAATACAAATTTCGGTTCTTTTACGTCCTAATTCTTTTTAAGATGCAGAGAGCTAATAATTTGCCTTTTAAGAACTTATTCTACATAATCCACTTGGTGTAAAAGACGTGATTCTCGAGCTCGTCGTACTTCCATACCCGCAGCCTACTCTTGGCATTGGGGCAGGGGGCAACATCATCCAGCACATTCACCCTGACAATTCGGATCCGCGACTATGGGATCTTGCAAGTTCTAAGATTCTTCACATTCAAATTTTGAATGCAGAAGTGTTCGGATCTATCGTCAGACCCCTGCCCTCGGAAACGCGTATCGGTTCCAAGACTGACCGCGGAAAAGGAAAAGAGCGTGATATCTCCACCGGTGTCTTCGATGGTCTTATGAGTGTGGAAGAGCCGGATGGAATAGAAGTAGCTGATGAGGAAACCGAGAACTGCGATGATAGTGTGAGGATCACCATCTCTCCTATAACTCTGCTCGAAGCAGACCAGACGATCCCGCAGTTCAAAGGACAGTATTGATAGATATCTAATATAGGGAGTGTTTAGGATAATTGCCAAGGCTACCACCTAGCCCTATAGACAGGTACCTAGATAGTTACTTGCTATATCTACCACTCTTTTAGAATAGCTATCATCTTTCATTGAATCTAAAAATATTCTTATTCTTATCAACTAGGTATACCACATGAATCCAAGAACTGTTTCAATCAACTACAATTCCTACCAGGAGACAAAGATTAATACTACCTAAGTAGGTAGTCAAGAGACGTAGTTAAGGTTCTAAGCAAAAGCTTGCCACCAGCTAGCTACTGGATACTATATATAGGGTATTGGGGTGCCCTTAGCTTTGAATAGGGGTAGGTGTCAACCGACTCCTTCAATGTATTGTATATTTGGTTTTCTACCAGCTAGCTACCTGTTACTTCGCGGGTAATATATTATGCTAAAGGGTTACTTCGGACAGTTTCAGCCCAAATTAAGTAATAGTATGGATGATCGTGTTTAGGGGGCAGCTAACGACGATCTCGTACGATTACCTTCTTCTATAAATGACCTATATACCATAGCAGAGCAGAGCATTTTAAGGCCTATCTATAATATCACAGAATGAACTAGAAGTATTATACTCTAAAAACCTTAGTTATTGGGGTTAATTCAGTAGTTATATATTTTGTCATAACTACTTAAAGCTTGCGGCAAGTTTTGGACCCCTAAACGATACGCAGGTATCCTAGGCAGAGAATAAAAATCTGTGGTAATGAACGTCCCATGCTAATGTAGTATACGATATAAGATACTGCCAGCCATTTTTTATGTTTCATATTCTCCAATTCGAGCTTTGGTGTCGAGATATGCGAACGATCAACGCTGGAGACCCTTTATGGAACGCACTGTCATAATAAATTCAGTAACCGATATATCCTGAAGGTCACAAAGAAAAATATTGTTAAAACCACATACGGTCAGGCTTCCGTTTTGGTTACGGCATTCTATAATGGGGGATTAGCTAGCCGTCTAATATAAAGCTCGATTTTTCGGGGTTGCTTACTGCCAGAAACAACCGTGGAGCTGTCGGAGGGACCGGCATAATACTTGCAACTAGAGCCATCTTTGTGGGAGCAGTTGTTCGGGCAGTTACAGGCAGCATCTATGGTAGATGGAAAATTAGGCCTTGCTTGCAGGTTTTAAGTTAATCAAAGGACAAGCAAACCTGGGTTAGTAGCGATGAGGGCGGCGCCCATAGCCTGGCCCGCGAAAAGGAGCGCAACGGCGGAGACGATGGCGGTTTTAAAGTACATTTTGAATAGATATCTCTGGTGATATGGCTGGGAGTAGTCTTGGAGCTTAATATCTTGTGAAGAGTTGAGTGGATGTTGGTGAAGAAGAGAAGTCGACAGGACCGGTCCCTCTTGGTCCTTTTATACTTCCTGGCTCGAATGTTTACTATGTATCTCTTACATATCTAGTTTATGAGGTAAATTCTTCTTTCATGTCTTAAAATATCACACCGCCTGTATTGTGATGAACTTTCAGGCGTCTGCATCTTATTAAATTTCTTTTCCTAGTCATAAGTGTTCTAAAGACCGATACAGGGGGATAAACCTTGTATAATGGTGGCTGCATGGTGGAATGAGACAAATAATCCTCGTGCCACCAATAAATATTACTGGTGTAGAATATAACCATGTCGGCCATGGGGGCCGTGTGTGAAAACGACAGTCTATGGGAGGAAAGGATCCAGCATCTCCTGTGATTTACTTACCTACTTCTGAAAGCCACCGTCGGCTGCTTAGGTAGCTTTTAGGGAATCCATCATTGTGATCTCTAGTTTAACTCGCTGAATAGACAGTTTCACTCATAGGTATCTAAAATCCACAATATACAGTGACAAGTAAAAGATAATATAAATTCGGCATAGGGTGCGTTTACTATATGTCCGAACTTCCTGATCACCGATTCTTCGACAAACATAACCCTATATGTAAAATTTTCTATATTAGGTTGAAGTAAGCAAGTGTAACAAAGGCTTAAGGGGATGAAAGCCACGATGGAAGTGTCACCCAAAGAATCCTACACTAGGAAGTAGATGTCTCCAAATAAATACCATTATGCGCGCTTATGAGTATTTTATCAAGCCGCCTATACGAACTACCAAGTAAATGATAGGTCGATGGCTTTTCTGGTACCGGGAGTAAGCCGAAATTAATAAGTCGTAAGACAGTAGTACGGCTTAGAAACTCTTGCGGGTCTTAGCACATGCGCCTACTTAAAATACAACGAGTAGTGCTAATTGGAAAGCCTTGCTGGCAAAACTTGCCACTGACATAGTAAATACGTTGGAAGCCAAAGTCGGTAGGTTACAGGTTTAGATACTCCCGGAAGTCAGATCAGATGCTTCCGGCGGTATAAACATCTGTCAGATTAGTCCGTACTGTCAGGTAACTTAGGAGACCTCTGATTTCTTGTCCGTGATTTCGACACAATCAATTAGATCATCAAGAAATTGATTAAGATAACCTCTTTTGACATCTTAATTAGTACGGATCGGCTATGTGGCATCTTGGTTGTTCTAGAATGATCATGTAAGAGGCGTAGGTTATTTTTGGCAGCGAACTTCAACTTTTTGAAGCCATTAGTTATGGTAGTAGATACGTTTTTTAGCCCCTTAATGGGATAAACTTGACATATTACGCTGCGAATTTACACGAACTCGAAAATATGGACGGCCTTTGAAGTATTAGTTGACGACGATAAAGTCTTATGTACCTAATCTATAGCGGCGGGGAACTTCAAAGTTTATTGCTAAAGGCATAGCTTGAATTAGAAATTCCTTCTTTGTAATTATTTTTGAAAGAAATACTGGCACAAGACAAGCTGCCTAGATACGTTGGCACCTAGGTGAAGAATATGTGTCAGACAAATGTCTGTCCGGCATATAAAATGTAATAGAATAAAATCTGTTACCAAATAACCTTTTAGTGGTATAGCGGTTTGTTCGACAATATGATTGTATAGTACCTAACGACTGTTCCATACTAAATACAAAGCTGCGGAAGTATACAAATGAACATCCCCATCTAATACGCAATATAAGATTCCACAGCTTGTCTATCTATATCTCCGCTCTTCATGCCTTTTTTATTTATTTTAATCGTCAGGATACCGAGCTGATCAGCACTTCAGCTCCTTAATGACGAATGCACTACATTCACAGAAGTTAGTAATTAATATCTGTACTGCCGAGGAATATTCTCGGTAACGTGTCATGAGCAGCCCTTGGTATGTGACCACTACGGAGAGACAGGTGACTAGCTGGTGAATAGCTTATAATATATATATAATTTTCAGTATTATTAACGCCTGCCTTACTCCTCACTCACGTTCCCATCAACAGGTTCCACTTAGTACACTACTACCACGTTACCCGTCGGCATTATATAATAGTTACCGCTACTCCTTATTCCATTACGCCTTAACAGCAGTTTCAAAGCTTTTTTTACTATATTCTCTTTAATTTTATTGCTAAAGCAAAATATAAATTGCGTTTAAATATTACGCTTTACTTTTAACCTTATAACTAGGTTTTAATGATTTAAACGTTTTAATAATCCGTTTATTAAATTTAAATATTTTATTTAATATTTAATTTTAAAATCGAAACTAAATAACTATTTTAACCAATAAATTTATTTAATATTTGGTTTTTCTTTAATTATTAAATATTAATAATTTAAATAATTTATTAATATTACCACCTTTTACGAGGTATAAATTAAATAATATCTTTATTATTTAAAAATATGTAATATTGTTATTAACTTTATATTAAAGGTTAAATAATATAGTTTTGTTTTTTTTAATTTATATAATAAAAAAGCTACCGGATATTACGCATTTTTATGTAATTGCGTAAAAATTGCCTTTATTATATTTTATAAAATATCCGTTTTTATTTTAGTAATTTATTATAAATTAAAATGTTTAAGTAATAATGTATAAATAAATAAATATTAAAATTTTTTAAAAGTTAATAAACTATTATTTTATAATAAAAATTATTTTGGTTTGTTTTGCTGTAATAAATTGGTTAATGAGGCAATTATTTTTAAATATTTTTTAATAAATTTTTTATAAAAACTTATAAATTTTAAGTATATTTAAATATTTTTTACGTTATTAAACATTAGTTATTTAATAATAATATTAATTTTAACTTTATTTATAAAGATTTTTTTAATGTTAATTATAAATTTTAAAAATATAATTTAAATTATATTAAATATATATTTTTTAAGGTTTGTATAAAGTTTTTATTATTATAATTTATTAAAGATATTATAAATTTATTAGTGGTGATTTTTCTTTTTTTTTAAATAAATTAATATATTATTTAAATAGATAATATATATTATATTTATTAAATTAATTAATACGTAATTTATATAATTTTAGAATATAACTAGCATATTAATAAAGTTAAATGGTAATATTAAATATTTAAAATAGCTATATTTTATTTTAAATGTTATCTTTTATTTATTTTTTTTATAAATGCGTATTTGGTAATATGTATTTTTTAGGTCGAGTTTAATTATTATTTTTACTTTTTTTAAATAATTTAATATTTTATTTATAAGTGGTAATATTATTTTATTTTTTTTTATTATTTTATTTAAAGTTTAATAATTAATATAAAGTTATAATTTACCTTTTAATTTTGGTATAAATAATATTAATATTTTTATTAAACTTTTTAAAAATTTAATTTACTTTTTTTTTAATAATTGGTTAATATAATTTCGAAATGTTTTTTATTTTATTTTAAATAATGTATAAATAAGTTTTTAAAAGGTTTTTATTTTTGATTTTAAGTTAATTAAATGTTTTATTTTATGATGTGTTATTAATACGCTGGAGAATTTTATATTAAAAATATTAATATATTTTTTATATTTTTTAGGTATTTAATAATTTTTTTTTTTAGTTTTTTAAAGTTTTACTTTTATTACGGCAATAATTATTATTATTGTTAATTTTTTTGTTATTTTATGTATTTTTTTTTTTGTTATTATTAAATGTAAATTTTTATTTTTTAAATAATATTTTTAACGTTTATTTTTTTAATTTATATTTAAATTTGTTTTAACATTTTAAAGAATATTTAATATTATTTTATATTTTTTATTTAGTATTTTTTTAATTAATTTAAATTTGTTATAAATTATTTATTAAATATTTACATTATCTTTTATTTTTATTAATGTTATTTTTTGTTTTTTTATTTATATAACTTTTTTAAAAATTTATAACTCCCTATTATTTTTTTATCTTTTTTCCTTTAAAAAAAGTAATTTTTTTTTAATACGTTTACGTTATTTGCAAAATTAATAAACCTTTTATAATATACCTAAATTTTATTTAATTAAAGTTTAATTATAATTTTAAAATAAACTTGTAAGGTTAAGTTTTTTTATATTTATCTTTTTTCTTTTTTATTTTTAATAAAAAAGGTATTAATATTAAATATTAAAACTTTATTATAAATTTTTTGATATTGTTTTATAAAATGCCTTTTTTTTTTACATTAATAATATATTAAATTTAAATAATTAGTAATTTAATAACTTATTTTATAACATTTAAAATAAATCGGAATAATTTTTTTTTTTAATTTATTGAAAATTTTTTCTTTTTTTTCTGGGAGTAACCGGTTAATTTTTTAAATTTTATAAATTTAAAATTTTTTAAAACGTTTTTATCTTTTTTAATTTATATTTGCAATTAGGTTTTTAAATATTAATTTAATATTTTTAGTTTTTTTAATTAATTTTGTTTTAATAATAAGTAAATTTTTTTTTATTATTTTTAATTATAATATTGGCGTTATTTTAATTAGTAAATTTATAATTTAAAGTTTATTTATTAAATCGTTTAAATTTTTTGCTTTTATTAACTTGTATTGTTTTAAAAACGTATTAAACTTTTCCTTTTTTAGTTTAATATAATATATTTAATTTTATATAAATTAATAAATTACATATTTCTTTATTTTTAATAGTAAAATTTAATTAATTTTTGAATTTTTTCTATGTTAAATTTACTAAATTATTACGTTTTTTTATTATTAAAAAACGGATTTACTGGTAATTTATTATTTTTTTAAAAAATATATTTATATATACTACTTTTTTTTTATTTGTTAAAAAATTGTTTATTAATAATATAAACCTTTTTTTTAAATTTATAAAAAATATTATTAAATTATTTTTATTTTTTTTTTTATATTTTAAAGTTAAGAAATTAATTTAGAAATAATTTTTTTATTATAGTCGTTATTTATTTTTTTTACTATTATTTATTTTTTTTTTGGTTAAATAAAAATCTGGTTCCATTTTTATTTTTAAAACTTTTAAATATTTTCGTTTTTATTATATTTTTTAATTTTGCATTATTATTTTTAATTTAGTATTTAACTAGGATTTAAATATTAACTTTTTTATTATATTAAAATTTAAAATTTTTATTACGTTTATTATTTAGTTATTATTTATTAATTGTTATTTAATTATTTTTTTATTTTTTACTATTTTTACCTTTTTTTTTTTTAATAAAATTTCTTTTATTTTACGTTTATCAATCCGTAAATTGGAAAAAAAGGCATTAATTTATCATAAATAACTTTTAATATATAATTACTATAAAAAAACAAGTAATTAATTAATAAATAATTTATAATATATATATAATTTTTAATATTATTAACGTTTACTTTTTTTTAAATTTATAAAGAATTTAAGGTTCTTTTATATATAATATAATAAATAATTAATTAGTAAATAGTTTTAGCCTAAATTTTAAAATCCTTATTACGTTATATACTTATTATAATCCTTATCATCTGATATAACAACAGCTTCCTTCGTCTGCTCAAAGCTAGAGGGGAACCAAGATAACTATTGGAGTTACATACAGTCAGTTTGCGGTGCCTCCTTTGGCATGCTGCAATAGAAAATTAGTTAACTGTCAAATATAATATTCGGTTTCAATTTCTCAATATCACTTACTCCCATGATAGACTAAAACGTGGGAGGCATCAGCATAGTACTCGCAGCTGGAGCCTGGTTTACGAAAGCAGTTGTCTGGGCAGTTGCAAGCTGCGCCTGTAATAGACAGGGAGGTTAGACTGATATCAAGCCCCGAGTTTAGGAAAGGCAAACGAACGTGCGTCGGCGGCAATCGGAGCCGCACCCATGGCCTGGCCGGCGAAGAGGAGCGCAATAGCGGAAACGATGGCGGTCTTGAAATACATCTTGGATGGATGTCGTCGAAGTGGCAATAGAGATGAAAATAGTCTTAGATTTCGATGTCTTGTTGGGAGTTGGGTGTTTGGGTGTTGATGGAGAAGAAAACTCGACAACGAGCTGTCCTTGAGGTTTTATTTATACTCCCTATCTTCAAGATATGTCATGTCATTGTGGCCTGGGTTATGAGATGAAGAGTTTCTTCAATTCACTAAATAAAGGTATATCTGTGTTACCGTAAACTATGAAGTCACCATCTCGGGAATTCCACACATCCTGTAAACAAGCGGTGGTTTGTCATTGAAGATGGCCTTACAAGATGGTAACCATTAAGATGAAATAGGACAGATCCTCTTTGTACGACAATTGGACATTAAAAATACAACGTATGCGTATATTTTCAAGATAATTGGATTCATCTTTCAGACGACCCTGCGAATTAAGGAGATGTCATACTGTGAAAGCAGGCCTCCCAACTCAGCCGTGAGTCCTAATAGTGATTCGCGTGAGGAATGCTTCTAGCCTCATATAGGTTATTCCCTCAATACGGTTCTCGTCTAACTTTTAATGAATCCGTGATGATGACTGGTGTGACTACCTAAGGTAGATGGACATTATTGAAGGGACTGTTTTAGACTCTAGTTCTTGTTGGGATAACTATACCTAAACAGGTCCTACTTGTACTCATTTCAACCTTGCCGTTTATCGTGACAGACTGAAGAGTATAGGAGATAGCATAATGCGCATTTACTTAAAATTGTCTACTCAGAAATCCTCCGGGCTATATAATCCTAGATCCAAGTTTTTGACCTATTATCGTACCATGTCAGAGCAAGCTTGTGTAACAAAAAGTCAACAGTGAGGCAGCCATTTTCGCATGATATTCTTCGGGGCTGTATGTCGGCTATTTGAAAATATGCGATGAATACCTGGAACTGGTAGTTCATGTACCCGGGTACTTATTCTTCCCGATATCGCCTGAAAGAAATGAAGGGAAGAGAAATGACGGAGAGGTAGCAAACTGAGTAACGAGGGTACGGGGATGAAATTCACTCGTAACTTGAGTCTTATTGATGTACCCAATATATGGCTTATCGGAGGTACTTTTATATTTACATGTAGATATGAGGGTACGTGTCTCCTTTTGGGGACTTGACCTTGACTTTAACTTCAAGTGCTTTGTTCATGTCTTGAGGTAAAATAGCGCCCGGGAGATAACAACCTGAAAAGTTCAGCCGATATTAAGCCGCTTGATTCGGAACTGTGAGTCACCTGATGTGCATTTAAGTTTATTGAGGTACCTATGTACATACGCGCCCCACAAGTTGAATTCGCTGCCAAGTTTCAAGTTTCCCCTCACTGCAAATCATTCTTCCATTCTCAATTTAGAAACAACTTCATGCGTGTTTGCAAGTCAGATCCCCGAAGCACACTGGTTCGATCCTTTTAGCGCCTAAAATTCTATCACCATTTTCTCCCTTTTTTCCATGCCTAAATACCCACGTGCAAGATGGAGATTGGCCTCGACGAGCTGATCGAGTCTCTCCTGACAGAAATAGCCTTCTCTGGCGTTCGAGGTGAGTAAAATATTTGAATCTACCAAAGTCTCTCGACGATTCCCGTTAGGATTTGTCGAGAGCTGCTCTATTTAATGGCCTCAACTAAGGCTTACTTATTTTAGGATGTTCGGTTTCTACATTATTGAAGACAATAGAAGCTTTTTATAGCGGTGCTCAAGAACAGATCAGTAATTCTGCAGCAGAGCATCGCGATGAAGGACAGAAGCCAAGCGATGCACCACAGACCCACCAGAATGCTCGCAGCTATGATCTTTGCATGTGCTCAAAGGTCTGGGGATGGCTAGTATCAAGGGCAGACGTCTCTGTGGGCACCAACAGGCAATTCAACCATTGCAAGTTAGAGGAGATCCTAGCTCTTCCGGAAGAGGAAGATGACTTGTCGTCCGCAGAGGTGGTTGAAATATCCAAAAATCAAACTTCGACTCCACTAAATGAGCGTCAGCGCCCTTTAAAGAGCCACCGAGGACCGGAAGGAACTTCTTCGAAGTACAGACCTCGTCTTCATGTTTCGGATGAACGGCAATGGAAGACGATCGCTGGCCATGGCCCAGATCTAAAACGGCTACCATTATTTGAATGGAAAGCACTTGTTGATATTGCATCTGTGAGGGAGAAAGGTATTCTTCAAGGGGATTTGGTCCGACTGTCTGGTCAAGACAAGAGATCCCTGCCCACGCGCACCGACGCTCTAGCAAAAAAGGGCTACATTATCAAACAGTCTATTATTCTTCGAGGATGTCGCTCTAGTAAGCTTTGGCTTGCTCGATTTGCCGATAACGCGAAAGAAAATCGCGACGGCCTCAATCTTGAGAAGCTTGACTTATCAAAGGAGACTTTAACCAAAGATCTTCGTCCGGTTCCGTTTAGCGCTAGCTGGAATGGCGAGAGACTTGATTATATAGCTATTGCACAAGCTTTTAATGCTGTCATCAAATCATGGGGCATTATGAGATACTGCGATGTTCGAACTAAGTTGGATGCTAATCGCGTGCCACAAATGAGAGCCCTAGCAAAGACATCTCGATGGTTTACCAGCATAGGAGCAGTCACGTTTGTGGCAGCAAGATTCGCGAACGGCCAGAAGCTCTTCAAAGACTGTGTCAAATTTATCAGAGAACCGACGGCTGAGGAGTGGAGAGTCTTCCGAACTACGCCAAGTGCTCATATTAGAGTCCCCTCGGCGCGACTAGGGAAAAGAGGGCAAGCGTCGCGAGCTCGATATAATAAGGGGACTAAGTTCAGTCCTCATAGTCAAGTCAAATCCAAGCAGTCACCGAGCCAAGAGCGCCAAAATAAATCATCAGATAAAGAGCAATTAGTACCATCTTTGTGGACTCCATATAAGCCTATGGTCAACACAACATTCGAGATAATCAAGAGAGCTGGCTCTAAGGGGTCCTCGAATCTCGAAATCGGCCGCCAGACATTGGGACATGGTTACCGCAAGTACATTGCCGCACTTACCGGGACACTATCGTTGCCCAATTCCCAGCCCCCTCATCTACAGCACCTCAACGTTACCTCACAGCTTAACCGCATAGGAAAGACCATGACCTACCAATTCTTCGCGGATGGCGAAGCCGGCAATTCCGTTGTCGAAAACAGCAACGAGAACAAATCTAATGACCAAGAAGCAAATTTAGCTAACCGGATTGTGGATGGACAAACTTCGCCATACGATTTAATGATTCCGGGAGCTAGTTATGTGTATTCGCAGCCCCAATCATCCAAATTGGCGTCAGAACCTGTTTCGCTCTCCCACCTTCACGATATTCTACTAGCGCCAAAACCAAAGAAGGGTAGGAAGCGGAAGAGAGGTTCGAATGGGGAACCAACTAAGGATACGAGCGGCGATATGCAAGAACATCCCAATAAAATACCTAGAATAGAGGAACCACCATCAAGAGATATTCAGGGAGATGAAGAGATGACGAACGACAATCAGGGGGCACATCCAAACGTGAACGAGCCTATTCCTGTACCTACTGCCATTCTGCAACAACCTACCCTTGACCTAGGGCCACCAGCTCCTCTTGCACCGCTTCTACCGCCTCCACCAATTTCTCGACCACCTGGTGTATATCGTGAGCCTGACAACTCGTTAGATCCCCCCGGGAAGAAGGGGCGGCGAAAAAAATCACTTGTCCTCACACTAAAGTGTAATTCACTCAAGCCTTGGTTGGAACGTTTATATAATAGCCAACCAGCAAACTCTGGTGAACTTTCCTCGTACCAACCTGGTTCTCTGCCTACAAATCCGACGCAAGGCCCACCGCAAGCTGAAACTGAAGACAACTCTACCTTATTAGCAGAACCAGAGCCAAGTCAGGCTAAGCAGAAACCGACAAAGCGTGGCGGTAAGACGGTATTTAGGTGTGATAAGTGCGGCAATAGTTGGAAGAATTCGAACGGCTTGGACTATCACCTTAACAAATCTCGTACTGCTTGCAATCCCGCTTACATCCCAGCCCCGCTGCCACCTCCCAGGCAACTTGCGAAGCCAAAACCAATAGCTAAGACGATATTGTCAAAAGCATCTTATGACCATGAGCAGGGCCAGGGCCTCGGTGATCTCCAACTACCAGACTTAGCTCGCAGACCATCACACCGTAGCTCTGACGTTGGAAGCGGTCGGCCCCTGCTACCTCCTAAGCGTATTCGTCTTAGTGAGAATCTCGTACCCAGTGAGGATACCAGTGATTCAGCTGCGCAAGTATATGCTGGAAGCTCTATCATGTTGAAAGATGTAGAAGCTTATGATGTTATCGATCATCGAAAACGAAGAGAGAATAGCCAGGCAGCTTTGCCCAACCTTTACGGTACGGGTTCTCCAACACACCAGGCGAATCAAATGTTATTCCAGGTTACACCTAAGAAACAACATCAAGCTAGCGAGCCCGATATCAGACGAGGACAGGCTAGTACTAGTATACAGGAGAGTTGTCAGAAACAAAAAAGTAACCTTGCCTTAGCACGCGACCGCGACCGAAAATCCAGAGCTGAGAAACCCGAGTCTTATACTACAGTCTATCAACCTCATTCAGAACAAACGGAAGCTAGTAACAGGGAGCCTGCGCCATCTGATTTCAATCTACGACCTACTTCATTAAAATCGGCCACACCTAGCGGCCATCATATATCTGGAGCAGCTGTCCCGCCGGCCGCCATCAGCCACCCTCTTAATGACAATGGGAGAAACGATATTCCGGATTCTAGGATGGTTGACAGCCAACTAAATAACGAAACTACACGGCTAAACCAATTGACTCCGAAAAAGTCCCGCAAGTCATCTACACTTACTGTGGGCACGGTACGTAAGGATCGAACAACCGGTATCATCCAGCATCTTCTTGACAAGAACAACGGTGTCTTCCCGGGACAACGATCTTTGTACTTGGCTATGGTATCTCTCTGGGTCAAAAAGTATAGTGATATTGAGCCCCCCGACTGGAAGGTATGCCAGAATGTAGTAAATAAGATGGAGAAAGCCGGTGTACTAGCACAGCAACGCTTCTTTTTCCTCGACGATAATGGCAAGCTTCAAGAATGTTGCGTACTTGCTAAGAAGCAGCAAGGTGGATCTACTACCACAGATTTAGCTGCTGACCCCAAAGTGGTCATGGTCAAGGAGAAGATGAGAGAAATGCACCCGGAACCGTATATCCCAGAAGAGTTTTCGCTGTCGCAGGATGAGAGCGAGCTCTTCGACGCGCTTGCATCGAAATATAGAGAATCCACGCCTTCTAACGGACCTCGAAAGCAGTTTGGAAAGTCGAACGTGACCGAAGATATTGAGGTATTGCAATACCCAGCTTATGTTGTCAATGATGCCTCTACACACATAGCCAGCTCAAAGCGGCCCGCCGAAGAAGACGAATTGTCGGATGTGACACCCGCGAAGAAGATTCGTGTGGATACTAGCACCATAGATAAGCCCAGAAAAGCGCCCAGGCCGAGGAAACGAGGCGAGCAACGTGAGTACTGGGCAACTGCGAAAGTCGCGAAATATATTTGGAACCAAAAGCAAAACCCAGGTGAAAAATGGGGCCAGAGACACGCCAATCTTCAGAATTTTGCTACAGGAGCATGGTCAGCTTTGCCCCAAGAGGCTACCTCCATGCGACCTAGTATTGATAGAATCCTATCTTCACTTCGAACTTCCCGCGAAAATGCGTTAGTATCAATGAGACATGTTTCCACCAGCGGGTCTAATGGTACGGAGGGACACCCGAAGAGAAATAATGCTAACTCACCTGGTGAACTTCTTTGGAGTCACGATTCGACAGGCGGTGAAAATGGAGAACATTATGATGAAATAATGCCTGACGTAGCAGAAAGGGTCGAGAAAGGCCTAGTCGATCGATTTGTGAAACCTTCCATTTCTACATCGTTTGTACCTGAAGATTCAGGGTCTGAGGAAGAAGACGACGATACGATGTTAACCGAAGTACACCATGCAGAAAGTATGGAGGAAAACTCAAGCTTCCCCTCTGAAGGGGTTAGCACTACGTTCGCAAAGAGCAAAACGATTCGGAATACGCGAACTGGCTGCTGGCCTTGGCTACCGGTCAGCTTTTTCGAGTCGAACTCCACGAGCTTTGCATTGGCCGGGGCCATGCCAGAGGCTCGATGGTTCCAACGAGCGAATTTGCCACAGAATTCCGGGGATATCATCAAATCTCTCCGGGGGAAGGTCCAATTCAACTCTTGGGCAGACCCCTCCTACGGAAAATTTCTACGAGAAGTGGGCATCATCGAGAGGTGGGAACAATCAGCTGAAGGGTCCCAAATTCTCTTACACGGATCGGTCGCACCAGATTATATATTCATTTCCCTCTCATCTGAAGAGTCAAGGGCAAATATGAAGCCCATTACCCTCGAGTGGCCTAGTAACGGCCAGTATACTGTGGAGAATATACCAGAAGAGATCAAGAACGCATCTCCCGACGATGAAAATGCGGGCTTGTCAATAATACATCGCAACAGGGGTAGACCAAGAAGAGAACATCCCGCCGAGTCACAGCCTAAAGAACAAGCTAAACCCAGCGCAAAGAAGCCTGGAAGGAAGGCACAAACAGTTCCAGTACCCCAAGCAGAAGTTCAGTATAAGACGCGATCACTCAGACCCATACCTGTCCAGCATCGTGGCCGCGTGAGCATACCGCGCCCGAATGAGGATAATCTTGGCCTCAGTGGCGAAACAGAAGTCATAGCCGCGTTCGTGGTATTCAAAACACTCCTAGGTGGGATCGATAGAAAGGCAGACATTGGCTCAATACTGAAGGCTTTCCCTAAATTCTCTCACTCAGCACTAAGAAAATTCTGGCCTAGAGTCAGCAGGGAACGGAAGACATATATTGATGCTTTGACGGAGAAGTTTCAATCGGCATTTTTAGAGGCTTATGAAGCGGGGGAAGTTGAACCCCTTAATTACGACGACATCGACTCGTACGATTGGCAGTCTCTAATCATCTGGGCTACTAAATTGGAGACACACGACAAGGTGGAACTTCCTGGATCCCGACGCGATCTAGAAGAGACCTATTCCCTTGAGGATGTAGGCAACGAAGCTACAGATTGGAGAGAGACATGGTTTCAGAACTTAGCTTCTATCTACTCGCGGGTTGAGGCGACGTCTGGCGAGCCTATCTCAATCCCTCTAAGTCACGATGTTTCATATGAAGAAGAAATTATTAGCCGGGCGAGATCGTGGGTTCGCTCTTTGTGTGTAACCCCAATACGGGGTGCAAAAATGCCCGAAGAGATTCGTGCGAAACTCTTGAGTCTAAGCGGCGGAAATGAAGCAGAAACAAATAAGCTGCTCAAGAAAGTAGTTGATAAGCTTATATCAGAAAGGGTAGCCTCAAGGAGCAAAGGGAAGATACTGGGTCAGTCCTTGCGACTACACGGAGTCTTTGCGAAGCACCTTGAGAAGCCGGCTACTGTCGAAAAGTTTGCACAGTCTGCCAACTTCAAAACACAACTAGATGAAAGCTTTCGCAAAGGCGAGGGGTTTGTTGTCCCGTACGTTGCCGACGACGGGACAATCATGGCGATTTTCAACCTCCAAGCCCAAGGCCACATCCGCGCAGAAGCCATGGATATCCCTAATATTCCCTTTGGGTTTGAGCCAGGCAATTACGACGGCCGGACGTTCCCGAAAAGTTATTATCACTTCAACGTAATATTGTCACCTACGACGAGCTACGTGTTTAACGAAGATCTGCCAGTTCTCCAACAAGCAGGGCAGGTTGGTGTACCCCAGCAGGGACCTCTAAACGAGATACCGATCTGGGTCGATTTCTTCGGAAATCTCGATAAGACCCGCTGGATTACATATCTCAGCATGACAACTTTAGCGCTCGCAACCAAAGGCCCACTGACGCCGCAGACGGCAAGCGTGCTGCTGAAGCCGTTCGTCGAGCCGTTCGAGGCCAAGTTAATCATGGATTGGATTGATGGTCTAGGCATCTTGGAGCGCTACGACTCAGGGCAGAGCGCCACGGTGGGGGAGTGGTGGTGGTTGGTCGTGGGCCGACTGGCACTTGATGTGATGGGAAGAGGTGTTTCCCAAAGTTAGGATTGTTGAAGAGAGTTTTTCATTGTACACTATACCAACGCAAATTTGTTGCGTGGCATAGAAAGGCGGCATATTAGGGCGTTTAATGAGGGAGATATCCATCAGTTTGTTGCGAAGCATTTCCAGACTTTTCTTGTTAGGATCTTGGCAGCGTCGCACAGGAATGGTCAAGTTTATAATAATGCAATGATTTCGTTTAAGGAAAGGCGAAAAGAGACAGCGGTAGTGCACTTATGGAATTGAATACCTAGGTACCTACGTATATATTTTCTTAGTATATTTATTTCGCTAGTCTCGAGCTATAGAGAGCCACGTTGGTGGTAGGGCGATACGTTATAGTTGCGGGCCGTGGGCTTGAGATGGCGGCCCATGTAAACGGCGATTCGATTCGATCCCGTCTAGCGCCAGATTCTTGGCTCTTTTCCTTTTGGGTTAACTAGAACTTTACTAGGAAGTTATCAACTTCATAAGGAATATTAGCATACTTGATGAAGTAATTAGGCGTTGGGATAGAGTGTAGTAGCTTACGATCGTGGCATTTATCAACTTGTAGTTAACCACCCAGTTCTTCAACCATCGCCTCATCTTATATTACCCGATTTCGACATTGTAGTCCGCATTAAAGAGAGCGTTTCAATTGCAAGTTTCCCATAAGTTTCTATAAACTTAAATTCGTGTAGCTCGTTTCGGGTAGCGTCCGAAGCCTTAAATTCAATCTCTAATTCAGTTCTTCCATGGTATCACTACCCGCTGTCGCATGTAATTCAATAACGCCTTTGTCCCGCCTATAACGCCGATTGCCCATGTTCGCCTCTTGTCACCACTAATGACCTATAATGATCTTCGTCAACATCGCAATCAATATCACCACCAACGACACGATCGCGTAGTCGACCCACGGCGGCACTCCCGCGTTCGGATCTACCCTCCTTGAAGTCTGCAGCGGCGCAGACTGCCCTACAGCTGTTGGCAATGGTATCGTTCTCGTCGGCGTCGGCGTCGGAACCCCCTGTGCAGGTCTAGGAGCAGGCAGCGGATCTTCCCTCCTCGGCACAGTCTGCACAAAGCCCTCCGCCAACTCCGCACTCTCCGCATCCTCCTTCTCGCCCTCGCTATTAGCCGCAGCCCTCGCCTTCTCCATCTCGTCGCGGAAGCCCATCTTCAGCTCAGCAGGGACCTCAACCTCCTCCTTCGTCTCGCCATCGGCCTCGGCGCACCGCTGCTCGCACTCGGCAATGATCTCGGCGTTGGTCCTAGCGCACACGGGACAGCGCCAGGCGCGGCTCTCGACGGCAAGCTTGCGGCGCACGGCGTCGTTGGTATCGAGGCCGCCGAGCTGGCCGCGCGCGTCCGTCTCCATGAAGGAGCGCAGCGCGACCAGCGCCGTGCGCACCCCCCACGCCGGCTGCCACGATTCCTCGTGGTGTCCCGAGATGCTCAGGCAGATCTCCCGGTTGGCTTCGAAGCGGCCGCTCGGCGTGGTGAACCGGAACGACGGCGGACGGTGCGGGTACGCCGGCGGAAGTATGATTCGCCCGTGGTATATGCCCTCGGCGAAGGCGGATTTCGGCGGGCCCCGCAGCGTGAAGTGCCATTCGAAGAGGTCGGATTCGAGGGGTGCTGCTGTGTAGTCTGGGGATGGGGAGGTGGAGAGCTCGGCTGCTTCTTTTACTGTTTATTAGGGTTTGGTCAGTATATATTTGATGGTCTAGAGGGAGTAATTGTTGTCTACGTACATATGCGCCTGATAGTTGGTGACTTGGAATTGAAGGTAGAGGTAGCCATGATGGCTGGTGATGTTTAAAATGGTCTTTCGTATTAGTAGAGGGAGTAGAGGGGTTATCGATTACATAGGGCTTATTACGGGATGGAAAATAGGTATAGTTCAACACCGATAGAGTTAAAATGTGCGGGGTTTTAGGTTAAGAGAGAGTTTAAGCGGTTGTTCCTGGCTTATGTACTGGTTCTAATAAACGAGGCCAGATTGTCTTGATACACCTTGGAAGTCACAAATTGATGCGATGCACGCACTATAATACATACAAAGGACAAGTACACCCGGGACCCTTGTTGCGATAAGATGAAACGGCGAAGGTCCTACGTAAGCTACTGCCGAACTAGCAATAACGCCGAAAGCACGTGATAATTTCCATTTTCATGTCGCGTTTAAGTCACGTGCGTTGTAACATCTCAAATCAAAGTTGGGTAACTACATGTACAACCTCTTGCAATAATACAAGCCAGTTTTATATTACACCATGAAGGAAATAGCGTTCCTTCTAGATTTTCAAATCAGATCAGGGGCCACAACTGTTATTACATGTATTACAAAGGTCATCTGCCAGGAGTAGACTGTTCACCATAGATACCCCTTTCCTTGTTAAGACACAGACAATATAAGTCAACCACGGCGACTTCCACTTTAAACGTAGTACATAATGTTCTGGAACAATTAAAATCTACATGTAGTTGTTCGCCTACAGAGTTAATAGATACATGTGATTCACTCATTTGGCTGTTCTAAGCGATACATGGGTACCTACGAGATATGTTTAGGGAAGTCGCTCTGGGATAGATGTAGTTAGTACATGCGCATGATATTCATACATAGCAGTAACGGCGACTGCCCGGAGAAGGCGCGCTAAGGAGGATATGGTCGTTTAGTTATCGCACCTACCTAAGGTACCTAACCTAATTCCCACGCGCCTTCCGTTAGATATAATTCTTTTTCTGCCGATCAAATATTTAAACAAGAGGTTTCGCGGTCGCCGCTGTCGGTATCGACTTTGAAGAAACATACCTCGGAGAGGTAATTTGTAACTTCATTCTTATTCTCCTGTCCCTTCTCCAATGCATTAGTCAACTCTTCTACGGGAACTTCTACCCTTCTCTTTGCGCTTTGAGGAGGAACTATGGCGTCCCGCGTGCGCGGTACTCCCGCCCCTCGTCTGAGATGCTTGAAGTGTAAAGCCACATTCGCCGATCAGCGTGGCCTATACCTTCATCAGCAGGAAAAGGGACACCTAGCTTGTGGTTTTTGCAAACAGTCTTTCCACGATATCAAGGCCCTGATCCAACATCGGGTAGAAGTAAGTCTCCCTTTCAATTGCGACACTTTCCTTATAAGACCCTAACTCACTAAACTCACCTATATAGGACCATAAAGCGGAACAAGACCTTCCCTGTCCCGGTTGTGGTACGAAGTTTGTCTCTGCAGGAACATGGATGTGCCATGTCGAAAGGGGCGAGTGCCATGCAATCTTTCCTTCAGATATATCTGGAAATATTGTCCAAGCCGTAGAGTCCATTTCGAAGGCTTTAGGCGAATCCAGATTCGAGGATGTAGACTACACCGTCAATTCGGGCAGATCGTATACTGAGATCGGTGACGTCTGGGGAGACGAATGGAACAAGGAGCAGAGCCTTGATGCGCGAGACCACCCCGAGCGATTTCCGAGAACTGCACAGCAGGAGTTCTACCAAGGCGGCTCGAAGCAGACTGACCTGCTGACGGGAGATGGAGCCAATCTTGAACAGCGCCCATTCAATGCTTGGGCTCAGAAGAAGAATCTGTTCCCGGAGAAGGCAGCACATCGCGCTGTACCACCTCCGCCGTCTCTCCTCGAGAATATGACAAGACCGCCCCCCTCAACCCAGCCTACTGGAGAACGTATCCTTAACCCGGACCACCCGGGCTTCAACGCGGGATTGTTTTGGAATCCCTTCTTGAAGACTTTCAAATGTCCCCACAAGGATAAATTTACCTACAAGGAATGCGGGTGAGTACTTGACCACTCGGATCACCACGTCTGAACGAAGTATTAACGTTCTCGTAGCTCGAAGCACTCTACTGCATCAGGCTTGATCACTCATCTAAAATCACCGGCACACACCGGTACTCCTTTCCAATGCCCGGGATGCACAATTGTATTCACATCCGGTAGTTCATGGGTTCAGCACGCAGATAACGTAAACGAAAAGAAGTGCTGCATTCGAAACACGGGTTTTTATAGGCAAGCGCTAAACACGGCTACCAACGGTGCCTTGAACATCGATGACCTCATCAAGCTTGCGGATGATACGGCGAAGGTGAAGTTTGATAATGACTGGGCCGCATCCAAGAAACGTGGTGAGCCTGGTCATGTGCCAGGTTCGGAGGCGTGGGTAAAGGAGAAGGATGCTGAGGCCTCCAAGTCTCAGTCAGATCCAGAGAAACCTCAGTCCGATCCAGAGAAATCTCAGTCCGATCTAGAGAAATCTCAGTCAGATCCAGAGAAGTCTCAGCCAGGCCCGGAGAAGTCCCAATCAGACTTGGAGAAGTCTGAATCAGACGCAGGAAAGAAAATTACCCACGAGGAGTACACATGGTAGTAACATTATGAATGAGGCTCTCAGAACTCAGTGGCGGAATATAGGCTTCTTGCGGATACGTTGGTATAAGTGGACGGTTGTGTCTCATCAGAGCACTTGGTTTCCACTCTGAGACGGCTGGTTGTTCAACCAATCATGGTTCGATCTCAAGGCATGATGATCGGGTTTGCGTTGATTTTTTCTATGCGTTGATTTGCGTTAATAATTTCCTCCTTTGCGATTAGATTAGGTACCTAGTTGAGATCAATGGCTTGATACCTCATAGTCCTAACTATTAGTCAGCAGAGGTCTACCGCAACTTGCCAATATACGCGATGATTTCTCTCAGCAATACCGCCTCAGCTTAGTGATGTAATATTGAATGAGGACCAACTGGATCTCAACAACTGATTACTATAGCATGGTGTTTTCCGTGATTCTTAGACGCTCTAGCCAATCAAGTAATAAGAAACAACCCCATACTTTACCGTAAGGCATTTTATCCATGCAGATTATGATTGAATAGCCCGCACATCACCCTACACAATTCAGCCGCCAGGGTTCTAGACGTGAGTAGAGCTAATTACCAGAGTAGGTAACCCATCCCTTGTTGCGAACCGACTTCTCGTACTCTTCCCACGTAGTTGCGATACATAGAGCATTCGTGTTGATCTTAGACTACTCTGTATTCTATTTCTGGCATTGCCATATGACCCCAGGAGACATCTTTGTTCCCGCGCTTAAGAGTGTCACGACTCGCGACTGGGTTCTCCGCCTTCTCCAAATGCAGCGCGGGTAATCTATCGTTACGATGGGCATTGGCGTGGTCGAACCCTGCATATTCATATATTGCCCAGTCGGCTGGTGATCATCTTTACTGAGAAGGGGGTCGGCAGATGCACCCTCATGCGTGAATTGGACTCTAATTACCAGGTCGACGCCATGACGATAGAGAGGGGTCCGGTACGGTTGGGGGCATTTATATAGGCAGCCGCCCTATTTCAACATCACCTCCGATCTATCTATCTGGCATCCATCGCAATTTCGGCCATTTTTTAACGGCGATCATGCACATACGCGTAGTGATCACAGCCGCGTGGCTCCTCGCCCGTCAGGCGGTGGCGCAGGGCATCGGTAACTCGGATACGCACCCGCAGCTTACGACAGAGAGGTGCACCAAGGCGGGCGGCTGCGTCAGGCAGAACACGTCTATCGTCTTAGACGCGAGCTTCCACCCCCTACGGCAGGTCGACGGGACCAGTAGCTGCGGGGGGTACGATGGCGCGCTGAATAAGGAGCTGTGTCCAGACCACGAGGCGTGCGCCAAGAATTGCGTTTTCGACGGCGCCGACTATGAGGGCAATGGCGTGCTTGCGGATGGAAACATACTCACGCTGAATATGTACGGAGAGCGCGATGGTAAACTTGCGACGCTGAGCCCGCGCGTGTACCTGTTAGATGCGAAAGAGGATGATTATGAGATCCTACATCTCAAGAATCAGGAGATTAGCTTCGACGTAGATGTGTCGAAGCTGATCTGTGGTATGAATGGCGCGATGTACCTTGCCGAGATGAACCAGACTGGAGCCCGCAGCGCTCTCAACCCGGCTGGTGCGAAGTACGGGACTGGATACTGTGATGCGCAGTGCCCGAACCTGCCATTTATCAACGGTGTGGTAAGTTTTACCGCGCCCTCGATCCTTCCTACATACCTTGAAGCTGATAGGATATCTATAAATCCAGGCCAATATCGACTCCCGAGGGGCTTGCTGCAACGAGATGGACCTCTGGGAAGCCAACTCGCTGGCCTCGGCATTCACAGCTCACGCATGCAGCCAGCCGGGCGTGTACGAGTGCAAAGGGGATCAGTGCGGCACTCTGGGCGTCTGCGACAAGTCCGGATGCGCGTATAATAACTGGAAAATGGGCAATACAACTTACTACGGTCCTCGCACGCCTCCGCCGGGATCGTCGGATAACGGTAATTTGACGCGGTTTACCGTCGACACTACGCGCCCGTTCACTGTGACGACACAATTCCTCACGCAGGGGAATCCGTCAAATATTACTAAGGGGATCTTGAACGAAGTACGAAGGCTGTATGTTCAGGATGGCGTGGTGATTGAGAATGCACCGGTGATAGCTCGTAACAGTATGTGATATGAGTTCCCCTCCCCTCCCTCTTTTGGTCCCATATCTCGGGAGTTGGGATTTCCCGAAACACGCCCGGACCCCTAAACTCTTAAGTAGGTATCAAATAAACAAAGCGGGCAATTATTTGTTAACTATCGCTACAACCAGTGCCTCCCGGAGACTCGCTGCGCATGTCGCACTGCCAGGCCGTAGCCGACAACTTCGAGAATATGGGCGGGCTGACGAACACGGGGCAAGCCCTGGACAGGGGAATGGTGCTGGCGTTTAGCATCTGGAACGACGACAAGCAGTTCATGAACTGGCTGGACGCGGGAAATGCTGGGCCGTGCACGTATGAAGAGGGCAGCCCGGAGCTCATCCGGAACAAGAGGCCGGATACGAGCGTTACGTTTATGAATGTTAGGTGGGGAGATTTGGGGAGCACTTATAACAATGGCACGGTATCGTGAGGGTATCTGCTGTGATTAGGAGGGGAGTGAAGTAAGAATTATCGGAGACTAGCAGATCGATAGGTAGGATATTTATATATATGAATAAGTTAAAGAATTATTTCACATATCAATCTTCTCGGGAGTCGAGGCGATGAGTGATGATGAGTTATGATACCTGCATTGAGTGAATAAGAGATTTGTTCCATTAGATATGACAGCTTTCTCTATTTCATATTTGCTATAGAAGCATATCAATACCAGATTAATACATACCTGATAAGGTAAGCATCAAAAGAGCACTACTCAGCCACAGCCACAGCCACAGCCCCATTCCTTCCGTAACCCCTGTCTCTCTCCCCTTGGTCCACGTCAGGTCCACTTAGAATCTGGATCCTGGAATTCGTCAGGGGACGTTCGTAAGCAACTCATCCCAAAAAGAATAAAGTACCTAAGTGAATGGGTTTCATGATGTGATACTTGCTTCTTTCTTTCTTTCTTTTGGTCGGCAGAACGTCACTTTTTCCTTTCGCTATCTTATTGTATCAATCTCTCCTTTTTCTTCTTTTTCTCTTTTTGCAACGTGTTCGAGCTATATGCCTGCATTATTGTCGCCTCTGTCGCCTCATGGATAGAATCCCTTCGCCCTCGTTGCGATCACCTCCGAATATGGCTCGGAGATGGTCACGGCGCATCGAGCGCTATTTCTGCGGCGCTCTCACCTACTTTCCCCTCGCCTTCGTCTACAGTATGACCACATGGGCCGTATGGGTCGTTGTTAATATCGGCTCCAGCGCCATGTCAAAACCTGGTTGGATAGGTTCGTATTTCAAGTCTTTTTTTTTAATTAATACTACGAGCTATGCGACGAGAGCTACAGCCTTTGCGAGCTTGAGACTGAGATTGAAGTTTCGAAGTTGAAGGCAGAATTAAAGCTTGCTTAAAGCTAACATCGATTCATAGGAACTAAAACCTCTATCGGCGGCGTCCTTCTCTACTTAATGCTTAATTGGTGCTACACCACCGCCGTCTTCACGAACCCTGGTAGCACCACCAACGAGTCCGGCTATTCTACCCTACCCACCGCCGCCCCGCCGCAAGCTACTTCTTTCACCGTCAAGTCCAACGGCGAGTTGCGCTTCTGCAAGAAATGCCAGGCCCGGAAACCCGATCGTGCGCATCACTGCTCGACCTGCCGCCGCTGCGTCCTCAAGATGGACCATCACTGCCCCTGGCTGGCTACCTGCATCGGCCTACGCAATCACAAGGCCTTCCTACTATTCCTCATATATAGCACCATATTCTGTTTCTACAGCTTCGCTGTTTCCGGGACCTGGGTGTATGCCGAGCTGTTCGCCCAAACTCAATATACTAATACCCTCATGCCCGTTAACTACATCATGTTAGCCGTCGTCTCCGGCATTATTGGACTCGTCGTCGGCGCCTTCACCGGCTGGCACGTATTACTTGCGAGTCGCAACCAGACAACTATCGAATGTTTAGAGAAGACTCGCTATCTAAGCCCGCTACGAAAGACGCTGCAGCACCAGTTTGAGGCGCAACACAACGGCGAGGGCATCCCTTTACCGAGGTACGGCCAGCAATTACTTGATATCCACGCGAACGCGCTTCCTGGCGTCACCAGGCCGGAGGAGGGCGAGGTGAGGACGACCAGGAACGACATTCCGCCGCGGCAGCTATCATTCCAGGAGCTGGAACAGTATCGCGCGAGGAAGCGGTATGAAGAATATATGGACGAGCAGGACTCGGAGAAGCTGCCGAACGCCTTTGACCTCGGTGCCAAGCGGAATTTGTTACACTTATTCGGCCCCAAGCCCATACTTTGGTTTTTCCCGATCATGAACACGACAGGCAACGGCTGGACCTGGGAAGCGAATCCTAAATGGACAGCAGCGCGGGAACGGATGGCTCGAGAGCGCGAGCAGCAGCGACAGCGGGAAAGAGCTGCTGGTTGGGGCGAGCCTGACCCGGGATTTGTCCCGATCACGGTTGAGCGGGCCAACGGAGGTGCCGGGAGACACTACCAGGCATCATTACCGCCACAACCGCCGCAATACCAAAACCAACGCAGCGGTCGACGTGTCCCGTCTAAGGCGGATCGCGTGCTAGGTCGCGATCCAAACCTATACGTAGACGAGCCACCGAATTCAGTATCGATGCGGACGCTAAATCGACAGGGTATGGCGATCGAAGATGAGTTTGATGAAGAGAGTAGTAGCAACGAAGATGATTGGAAGGATAAGGGAGAGGAGGATCCGGAGAGTAAGGCGATGAACGTGGTTACGAACGGCGGGTGGGCACGAAGTGGCGCCAGTGGATTATTAAGAAAGTCGAGCACAGGAGTAAAGAGTGCGAATGGTGGGAGTGTATCACCGGCGAAGGGGGCTACGAAGCGGCAGAGTAGTGATGAGGATGAGG